CCTGGAAGGGAGGAGACCTGGGCTCCAGTCTCTTGTTTCAATGAGTGTTTGTGTGGTTGATATTAAACAACCATTGGATAAAATACTTAAATAGTCATTGAAGCAGGGATAGCAGCCTGAGTCTGCCCCCTCCCCTTCCAGGTGAGGGCCCCAGAACGTTAGAGAGTCATGCTCCGTCTTGCTATCTCCCTATCGCCTTATCTCTCTCTAATGAATCTGTAATTATTTGATGAACAAGGTGGAACAACTTCCACAGCAAAGACAGAGAGAGCACCTTTCCCCTGTTTTTGGAGAGGTGGGTTCAAAGGCTCTCAGACAGAGCAGGAAACAGCCAAGTTCTCCTTGTCCTGAGACGCGGGTTCGCAGCAGGAGCAGTGGTCCTGCTCCTCCAGTGGCTGTGCGTGCTCAGAGATCACTCACCAGACTAAAACCCTGAGGGGGACCACACACACAGAATAATACCTCATCTGTAGATCCACATCCAAACAGCATGAATTAGGTGCTGAGCTACTGAGGACTAAGACACTTGGTGTTGTGCCCAGCAGCAGAAGCTGGAGGCACTGGGGGATCTCTCTATCCAGATGTGATGAACTCTGGGGAAGTGGCAGGTGAGTGGGGGCTGGAAGGAGGCTTTGCTGGGACTGATGAGCATCTGGTCCTTGCCGGAATCTAGCCCCAGGTCACCTGCCAGAGACCACACAGGGAGCCTGGAGAGGAGCGAGACCTGAATAGCCATCTCCTAAGGCACAGCCCCAGCCTTGTCAGCCTGGCACCTCTTACTCTTAAGCACTCCTATGCAATTTCTCAAGGAAAAAAAAATTGTGTAGGGAGGGTGGACAAGGCAGACTGTTCATCATCCAGGAAGATCAGAGCTAACAGCCATTGCCATTTCTAATGGATACATGTAATTAGCAACCATTCAGTAGACAGTCCTGAATGAAAAGCACAAATAAAACTGGTGAGTTCCTGGTGGAGTGATTTAGTTATCTTTCCAGAGGAAAACAATGTGTCTGTGTGTAACCTTTTAACTCTTTTTCTCTTTCTTCCTCTCATTCTTACACTGGATAATTATTTATTTTGTAGCTTAATTAGCTAATTATGCATGTGTTATGGTGCTTTTAAGTAGGAAGTCACTTTGTTTAGTTGTTGGCATGTGGCTTTTGTTCAGCTTCTGTGATGTTGGTTTATAACATAATCATCTTTACTTGCAGTGGTCTGAGGTGATGAAGCCTGTTCCCAATGCTATTATTTTAATTACCAGAGTAAAGTTGGAGAAAGGGCAGTGACTGACAAGGAACAGCTTCACATGGGTAGAGGGTAACTGGTAAATTTGCACAAGCCCCCAGCTGCTGTCTGTGAGGCACAGTTGTGCTGTGCTTCAGAAGATGTTCTGAAGCTTTTCAGATGGTGTATTAAAAGGCAGTAACAAGAATTCATGAAATCCACCCAGGACTTTCTTTTCTGTCTATCACTGTGTTTTCAGAAACATAAAGGGCCTTGAACTGGATCCCCATCCCATCAGCTCAACAATAAAAGGGCCTAGTAAGAACTGGTGTTTAGGAATCTGAAAATGCCAATGGGATGTACTGCAGGGAGCCTTGCTGCCTGCTAGAGCTTCACAAGACAACACAAGTTCACCCTCCTGCATGCAACCACCAGCTCCCTGTATGTGCAGGCCAGGAGCACAGGGTCATTGCATGAGTTAGCTGCTCCATTTCTTATCAAATGCCCAGCCACGAAGACAACTAAAACATGTTCTCCCCCACAGCTGTCTGATTCTTCAGTTTGTTTGATTCAAAAATACCCAGCATGGTGCTCTGTGCCATCTCCAAACCCTAACAAACGTCTCTCATTTGCCTTTAGTTGTCACACATAATGTATGCAGCCATGGACCCGCAGTAACATTTATTCCTCCTTCGACTGAAAAGATGAGTAAAGCTCTTAGGCTCATTTCCCAAGTGGTAAACTCTAGCTATCTCAGTTAGGAAACTGGTCTCCCTCAATTCCTTATCTAGTCAGTAGAGCTGCTCAAGAGGACTATTCAGAGCCTGTGAATTAGTTTCTCCTGAGAATTACCCTTTAAAGAGCCTCCCTCATCCAGGAACGCTACAGCTACCAGCTTACAAGGCCCATAACAGTGCTTTAAACCCCTTTTATATTCAGAGATTAATACTCTACACACTTTCATGAGTTCATATATTAAGAAATAAACTTTCCTATGAATCTATTAATTTGTCCACCAGAAAATATGCCTGCTACCTGGTGAATGCAAAAAGAAAAAAGTATAGCCTTTGAATAAGTTCCTTGGAAGCCACAGTATGTACAACAGTTCCTAAATTATCAGCTTTGACACTGAAATGTTGCTCTATGTTTTCAAGCTTACTGACAGTTCTATGTTTTAAAGGCATTTTTTTCTGCGTCTTTCCCACCCTCCCATTCATGTATTCTTCACGATGATGCTTGTGCAACAACACTCAATGATAACTCCTTTCCCTAAGGGATCAAGGAAGGAAATTCAACAAGTCACTGCCTCTCCCTTTTTTTTTTTTTTTTTTTTTATTTTTTTGTTTAGTTTGGATGGTCTCTGAAATGGACTGGAGTGCAAATGGAAGATATTTGGCAGGTTGACATTTGTCTGCAAAGCTAGGCTCTGAGCCAGAAGCATGGAGCAAGCTGGAGTGGGTTTACATAAAGGGGGAGCAATAGTGCCAGAGCTCTCCAATACATTTTCCCCTGAGACTCCTAGGCAGCCTACTCAATACTTCATTAAGGGTGAAATCCAGCACTATTTGAAGAGCCTTATGAAAGGGCCTGTGCACCAATTAAGTTCTTGAGGCCTTTGCACTGGCCTGAATTCCACCCAAAATAAGAACTGGTAGCTGAGGAAAAAATGCTATTACCCAGATTACAGTCCAGATTACAGTCCTGTGAGGAAGAGAGACTGTTGGAAGCAAAATAACCCTTCTATACAGTCCTTCATAGCTGCACCCTTGCAGCGTGTTTAGTGCACACAGACTTTTCTCTGTCCATGAAGAACCCTTATTGTTTGAAAAAGTCCAGGCAAGCAAGAGAGCAAGATATCTCCAAGCAGGAACCTACAATCTGATCTTTCTTAAAGCAGAAATGTCACTTTGACACTGATGGGATGTAACAGGCAGAGTGCACAGGGGTGACTGTTTTGATGTGCCTCAAAACAGGATCCCAAAGTCTGTTTTTCAGCAATAGGTATTAGTTTTTCTGAATCTCTTTCTGTACAAATACAGGATGCAAACAGAAATGATGGCATGATAAAGCATTTATCTATAGACAGGAAGAGTCTGCTATCTCTTCAGTAGGCTGAAATACAGTTTTTGCTAGAGAAGTTCACCTAAATTATTCTTCTTTTATATATCTATAAGACAGGCATTTAGTAGCTCTCCACTGGAGTAAGAAGCTAGTCTTAGATGGAGGGTATCTCTCTATTGACAAGGTCAACACCATTATTTCGTATGGGTTGCATGAATATTCATTTGTTTGCATGCTGTGCAGGCAACACTGTATATTTTAATTTCTAAACAATGGGGTGGCACAATGTCAAAAAGACACAGAGGGACAGGGGGAGCATGGAGAATACTTGTAATGCCCCAGAGCCTTTTCACAACAAACCAGTGATAATACAAGTTAATGGTTTCTGTAATATGAACCAGGATAAGGTTAGTTTAAGACTGTTTTTTAGCTACCAGCAGAGAGCATCTGCACCATAAATAAATCTCTTTACATAACGCATTAGATTGAAGTACAGAGTTGAGTACTGAACGGTGGAAGTATGTTTTTCAATTAAAAACCTCTTCACACTACACAGACATACAGGAGAAGCTGACTGCAGGGATAGGGACTTATGGAACAATTTGTGAGATCAACCATCAATTCAATATTAGCCCCTTGATGCATATGTTTAACTTCCATTAGTGGCACTGGGAGCAACAAGACTGCACCAATGGAGAGAACTGACCTCACAGTCTTTACACAAATGCATATACTTTCCATTGAAATTAAGGTGCTTTTAAGAATGTGGGGTTAACAAAAATACAGTCCACACAATGAAAGTGAATCAAATGTTTACATTATGTAATTGCTTTTGCTTGCTTTGACAAGGAAAATTAGCTCTGTAAAGTGCCAGTTCTAAAATGCATACTTGAATACACTTGATGAGCATAAGATCCCTGCACACCTAAGGCAAGATTGATAAAAAAAATTACATATGCAATTGAGATAAGGTTTTTTTCACTCTTGCAGTTGCTGTCAAAAGCCTGTGAGTTGAGGTGGCAACTCTGTAATTTGCAAAAGTGTCAAATGAAAGCAAATATGCTCTGGTATGTGGGCAGGGTGCATTCAGCAAGAGATTGATTGGAGAAGATAAAAGAGGAGGTCTTGCTCCAGGTCAGCAGTTGCATGGTCCTCAATCAGGACTTTGGATGTCAAGGTCAGAAAGGGCTATTGTGGTCATCTAAGACATACTGCACAACTTAGGTCTTTCTTAAATTTAATACTTAAAAAAAAAAAACAACAAAAAAGGTTTTATTTTTGGAGAATTCGCTGCAGAGAATCATAATTACTCTCCCTATCCAAACAGCAAACAAATGTTTCCTCAAAATGTGTACCATTGAAAGTTTTCATCTGAACTTGTTTGGTTTTAAGCTTTATATTTAATTATAGCTTGGTCTGTAGAACTGAAGAGCCCTCTCATCATGAGAACTGAATGGGAATATTTTTCACTATTGTCTTGTCAACAGCAGAGGGAGAGAGAGGACACTCGTTTGAAAGGTGGGACACCCAAGTTCACATCACAGTTCTGCCTGAACTGGAGTGTAGAGATTTGGGCTACATTCCTACTACAAGCAAGGGCTTCACACTGGGGGCTGTGATAGGCTAGCACTTAGTGTGCAAGCCATTGTAGGTGTGTGAGCTGATAAAAGCATTTCCTGGAGCAGGCTGGAAGATTTTCTACATGGATAGTCAGGAAAGTTTGCATAAAACTGTTGTGAAGGCCTAGGTTAAGTGGATGGTGGTAGAATTGCACTCTCCAACAAGGAGGGGTTTATAAGTAAAGCCAAGGAGAGGAAGTAGAGTCACAAGCTCTTCGGTAGCTTCGGTCCCAAGGCTAGGTTTCACAGCGAAGCAGTGCCTTGTTTTCTAGGGCTGCCTACAAGCACTGACACAAATGGCGCAATTTGCAAACAATGAGTGGGAGAAGTGTATGTACAACCTACTGTATTTTCTTCACAGGTTTTGCGTGTGTTTATTTCCTCCGTGATGCTTTGTGAAAGCTCTCTCCAAGGTGCCACAACCTGAATATTATTTGTAGCTTTATTTGTAATGCATTTCCTCAGAAAGTAACAAAATGAGGAGAAAATGACAACAACATCTAACAAGTCCCAGAACATCAGGAAACTCTACTATTGTTGTGAACCAGAATGCAGGCCAGGACAGAGAGCTTTTAAATTTGGGTGGCTCACAGGGACAAACACTGATTTGTGACACCTATGAAAGCTCATTGCCCTCAGTGGGATCACACAAGCATGTGTAGAGAGACAGTCCATGGAGGGATTATTTAAGCAGATGGCTTAATTTGGAGGTGTACTGCTTGCCTAGCACATAACTCTAGCAAAAGAGATTTGTGTCACTTTTCTTATCAAGTTATGACCTGTGTCTTCAAATGTGGGTGCTTACGGTTAGCAGTTAAATAAGTGCCCTGATTTCCAAAGCCACAGAATACATAAGGATGCCACTGTCTGGTTTTGGTTTTGGTTCCTTTTTTTCTTCTTTGTATTTTAGAGTACTTAAAATGCACTTAGTTCTGCAGAGATTAATGAATTATCAGGGATCCCAAAGACCACTTTCTTGACCAAAACAATCATTGAAGTTTCTTGTCCAGAGCTATTATCAGGAGCAGGTGAAAGGGGTAACCTCCACACTCAACAATTAGGATCATATGGCAACAATTATCTAATATGCTGGTGGTGTCTTCAGCAGGACATGAGCTATGAAGCACCAACTTCACAGCTGAAATACAAACCTCCAGAGAGGAGAACCAGGGTTGCCAGGTTCTTCTGGATGAAGGTCAATAGAGTGTGAGACTGGTGCAAGTGATTGCAGAGGCTTTCTTTTCCCTTATCCAGAACTGATGTGGTGATCCAGATTATAAAAAGCTACAGAATCAGAATCAAAGCAGGAACCTGGGAAGAGATATTTGCAATGTGTTCATTGTTCCATACTGTCTCATGAATTTCAATGTCCCTGACACATATTTTACATTACTTAATGTGACATCTTCCATTAATGAAAGGCCAAGTCCCATTCATTTCACTCATTTGATTTAGCAGTCATTATGGCCAGCAGGTTAAGAGAGGTGATTCTATCCCTCTGCTCTTGTGAGACCCCACTTGGACTACAGCATTCAGCTCTGGGCACCCCAACACAACAGAAACATGGATCTATTTGTGCATGTCCAGAAAATGGTCACAAAGATGATCAGAGGGTTGAAGCACCTCTGCTATGAAGACAGACTGGGAGACTTGGGCTTGTTCAGCCTGGAGAAGAGAAGGCTCCAGCGGGACCTTATATCAGCCTTCCAATACCCTAAGGGGAGCCTACAAGAAATCTGGAGAGGGACTTTTTGTAAGGGCATGCAGGAATAGAACAAGGGGGAATGGCTTTAAACTGAAAAAGAGTAGATTTAGATTAGATATAAAGAAGAAAGTATTTACTGTGAGGGTGGTGAAACACTGGAATAGGTTTCCCAAAGAAATTGTGGATGCCCCATCCCTGGCAGTGTTCAAGGCCAGGCTGGACAGGGCTTTGAGCAGCCTTGTCTATTGAAAGGCATCCTTCCCTATGGAAAAGTGATTCGAACTAGATGATTTTTAAGGTCCTTTCCAACCCAAACCATTCTATGATTCCATGATTTCTACAATTGTCTGTCATACATTTTACCACTTACACTCATGAGTTGGGTTAGTTTTATGTAAGTGTGGTGCTTTACTTTTTCATATAATTTTATTCCATGAAAGCAGCAATATTAATACAAGTGAAGATACTCTCAGAGAACCATATGACCATTGAAATATTACAGATCAGGTTTGTAATGTTGAAAAATATGAACACAACCTTACATTAACCTAGAGCTTTTACCAAGTCCTAGAAGTCATGGCAGAAATTAGACAGATGTAATCTAAATCCTCTTTACTCAGATTTCCATGGAAACTACTTTTCACTGCTAGATCAGGTCCCAGACTCACTTTCTTTTCCTAAGATACCAAGCTCAAACCACAATTAAAGTTTAATCATCAATACTGTTTTTATTTTTTTAATAAAAGAAAAATATTGCCTCTATTTAAAAAAAGTGTGAGATGTTGACTAACATTTATGGCATTTAATACCTTCAGATCTAATAAAATAATTATAATTTCCATTAAGAAATGTTATGCATGCAAAGTACCATTACTGATCCAGTCCATGTTGAGACTGCTGACATGTTACAATTATTTCTATATCTAAGCATATTTGAAGTTTAATCTCAGAAGAACCGGAAATAGTAAGCATGCATAAACAAGGTTTAAATATACCAGGTATAAGTGGTGCAAGCATATTTTTCATCTCCCAGCACTCCTGTAATAAATAAAACTTTTAGTAAATACATCTGTTTGGTGGCATAAAATTGATGAATAAAGTCCTGGACACATTTGATTCACAGTCACATTCCCCTACAGGTATGTAGTGCATGCATCCCTATTTGAAAAAAAAAAAATCAGGAAAATAAGCATCATTAAATTAAACATATCTTTTTCTGTCCTGTTTTAAAACCTGCTGAGATCTGCCTTCAAATAGAAACAACTCTGAGAAATCTAAGTACATTTGGTCTGTTCTTTTCTGAAGAATCACTTAGAAGTTCAATTACACATATTGCAATCAAAGAGAGAAGATGTCAGCTCTCTTCAAGGACTTGAAGTGGGGATTTTTTGTTTGATTGTTTTCCTTTTTACCAAGATTCTAAATTTCAGAGTCATCTGACTTTTAAAATGAGACTTTATCTTTGCCAATTTAAAAAAAGAAATAACATCAGGGTGGAGCAGGATTCTCAGTGGGTGTGCGTTAGCAAAGTTGACTTAAAGTTGATGGAGGAATGTTCATTTTTGTCAGCTGTGAATCTGACCCAAGCTGTATCTACTTTAGCTGGGAAACAATAAAGATTTTACAAATTATTAAGTCTTATGTCTAAAATTTTTCATGAATAGCAGTGATGTCTCATGTAGTAGATGCTTCTGGTTTTCTTGTTGAAGAATATATAGGTTAAAGTCATCACAAGAAAAAAAAAGATGTCTTGATATAAAGGAGTTCACTTTATATTCTTCATGGTTATTAAAGAATCCAACAGTGATAAGGTATTTGGAAACCACACAGTCCAAATAATATTAAGAGGTGGAAAATGAATATCAAGTTATTCAAAATCACTACTGTCCAGGCAGAAACTTGTATCTCACAAAATAAATTACTTGTAAAACTTAATGTCTATGTGAAATATTAAAGTTTAAAACCATTCTGTATTACCCGTTTTAAATACAGTCACCCAACTTATGCTGCTTCTTCTCCAGCCATATCTGAAAGTGAGCAGGCACACTGCATCAATCAAAAAAAGACTGCAGTGAGAAAAATAATCCCCCATCAAAGCAAAAAACATAAATACACAAATAAGGCTAGTGTTACATAAAATATCAGCAGTACTGAAAAGTATTTAAATGAGAGTTTAAAAACTTTGGGGTGTTTTTCTCTCCCTCCTTCTGCCTCTTCCTGCCCTCTCTTCCTCCCCCTCCTCCACTCCCCCCCAAACCCCCTCCCAGGCTGGGCTTGTCATATTTGGCACTTAAAGAGTCTAGTTTATTAGGCAAATATTTATTAACTTGACTTCAACCAAAATCCTGTTCTACAACTGCACCTGAGAGTTACTCCAGCCTTGGATTGGAGCAAGTCTCGGGGATCAGCAAATTGTTTGCACAGCCACGGAGGGGGAATTAAAAGTCTTGTTGAATCAGGATTAGCAGTCCACACAAGGAGGAGGAGGAGAGCTAATTTCCATAAGCTCTTCATCTCCCAGGCTGCTTCTCAACTCTCTGTGGCCTGCAGACATGTGTGACCCAAAAAGGAGGAGGGGGTGGAGGGGTGGGGGAGGAAGCGTATGAGTGAAAGGGAGGAAAAACAGAAAATAAAGAAAAAAGTGGCTTCTGCAATGACTGCATCTTTGCTTTTTCTGCTGGGCATGGTCTGAGCCAGCTTTCCCTCCTTTTCAGATGGACTCATAAGACCTCCCACACTTGGAAGTGCATAATAGTGTCAAGGCAGATCCCAGCAGTATGGCTAAACTTTTGTTCCTGACTCAAGCAGTGTTGCCAAGCAGGAACAAAACTTTGTGGGGCCGTGCTTATTTCTACCTTCTGGTTAATGGCAGAGGAGCTGTGCATGATGTGTGAAGTCCCACAACTCTCACATCTGTTGAGCCGCCTACCTGCCTATTCCTCCCAGAGTCTGGGCAAGGTCATGCTCTCTGATCATTTGAGAGGCATTAGGTGCTTGCCATTTGCATGCTCATCAACAGTGTTTAAATCCAGAACAAAATACACAACTGTAGCACGCATGGTGTTTTCCATGCTAGAATGGATAAAGCTGGCTGAGGTTAACAGCCGGGAAATCTTTAGATAACATTACCCTTACTCTGAAGCTATGCAATACCCTAAAGCTGCCCTAAATCTGTTGGACTCTAAACTCTCTTGCATGTCTATGAAGGGAGGTTACAAAACAGCAGTAGCTGAAAAACAGCAATCAATATAAGGATATGAACTTTGTTTCATTACTAATAAGAAAAGCACGTGATCTTTTACTGAATACAGAGGAAAATGCACATGCCCCAACTCTCAGAGTTTTCAGTAAAAACCTGTGGCTGAGATAGTTACAGAGTCTCCAACATCTAATTAAGTGCCTTCATGAGAAGTCTTCACTGGCACAGCCTCCTCTCTGGAGCATAACCAGGACGGTCGAAGCATACCAAATTTATTTCTAAACAAATCAAACCAGAACCAAATTAAAATATACATATTTAAATCATATTGATTATGAAAAAAAAAGACATACTACATAGCAAAGATAAACATAGCAGAATTAGACTCAAAATAAATGTGGGTATGTTTGTGAAGTCAGACAAAAGCAAGTCCTTCTATATACAGTATGATTTTTCTTGTTTTTACACCTGCCGTCCCAGGAGAGCCAAGTGAACAACTCTTTCGGCATGAATTGGGGGTTATATATAGCTAAATCTGTACTACACTGTATGCCCCAGACTATACCCTTTTCTGCAATAGTTCATTCATCAGTGGGTCTTCTAACAGCTGCAATTAAGTAGAATCAAAAGTAGAAATCAATTTGTAAAGTGTTCAAAAGAAGAAAAAAACACACATGTTCCAGTTATGCGGTCACTTCAATCAACCATCCTTTTAAGAAGCTGCATTAGAGACTTCAGCTAAAGTTTGAACAGCTCAGGTTTGTTGACTTTGGCAGTCTCATTTTTATTCATTAGAGTAGCTTGAAATTTTTGAATTAAAAATATGTGTGTAAATTTGGACCACTCTCAAAACTTGATTTTGTTTAATATCTCTAAAGCACGTTAATGGACTTATGATTTGACAGAATTTTTTTTTTTTTTTAAAGCTTTTCTTTCCCCACTCCTGCCCCAGAGAAGCTGCTTTTTCATGTTCCTAAGTTGGCCATTTGAGGGGATCTTTTCCGTCACACAGGCCCTGCTGCTGCCAACACTTACATATTTGAGTCCATCGGAAGGACTTGGTTATGACTCTATGACATTTTAAGCACTTCTGCAATCTTCCTGTTCCTAGGCTGTTTCAGAGGATGAAGAGACCCTTAAAATCACTTCAGCAACCCTCAGTACCTTCTAAATTGCATGCTTCTACATGTCCAGGCTATCACATGGGTCAGTGTGGCTATGTTACACTTGCCTAAGACAAAACCTTGAAAGGAACAACCTGAATTTGACTTTGCTATCCCAAATCTTATGGCTCCTACTGGCCAGAGACATCGGGACAGCTCCTGAAGGTCCCCAGGACATTTCTTGCTGCTCAGTACTGATTGCTTTGTGGCTGTTGTCCACAAGTGAGTGCTAGCATGAAGGGCACACCCCAGATGTACCCCCCAAGGATCTGCTGCCATTCTTCCCACATTACATGCAGCCCTACTTCTACTTTCCAGTGTTTCAACACCTGCTATAGCCATTTCCAAGGAGGAGTCTTTAAGATTGACTTCTGTCATTTGTCCAGTAGTAAATTCTGACTTTGTTTCCCTTTACACTCTTCTGACCTTTCTGCAGGCATCATTATGTCTTTTCACTTGGCATAAAATACCTGGAGTAAACGAGACATTGTTTTCTCTTTTTCCTGTACAGTTTTTCACATCCCAAATCTTTAATTTCCTTCTGAAATCTCACCTCTTCAAACCTACTGATCAACAATAAGCAACATTCTCCACCACCACCTTCACAATGCCGCCCCTTCAGTCCTTTATCTAGTCTTCACAGTGAGAAAAAGAAATTGCCTCTTCCCCCTCATTCACTGAAGAGAAAACTTAGTTTTCAGCTTTGATTTTCCTCATGCTGCACATGGAACATCTACAGATGTAGCTCACCCCTTTTCCAGCTCGCACCATTGCTGCTCCTCTGGCCCTGGCACCATGCAGCAAAGTGGTCAAGACTCAATGTCTATCAGTGAGAGCATTGCACGCTAAAAGCCAATGAACCCTAAAGTTTTTCATGCAGTCTATATTGTTTTCTTGGCAGTAGCACCAATGTGACAGGCAGGTTGCTCTTGCACTCATACCTAAAATAGATGGTAGGTAATGAAGAGTGGGCAACGCGCATTTCCCAGATACGTCTTCAGTACATTTTTGTTTTTGCTGTCTTTAGGACTGGTGCAGTAGCGCATTACATTAGTGCAGACTGGTGCTGATGCTCAGAGGCTGTGCCCACTCTGTCAGGATTCAAAATATTACCACAGTCTGCAAGTAAGATATAAGATATGACAAGGATTGTGATACTGTAACATAACAATGTACCTTGAGGGACACCTGTGAGGGAGGAGGTGAAACTGAGTGTATTCAACTGCCCAAGGTGTGATTTTTATCTCAAACCACAATGTAATAAGATGTGATAATAAAAAGGCACAGGACTGAAACAAACCATCGTCTTTTTTAGAATGTCAACCTGGTTATGCAGGATGCTGTAAAAAATGTTAAGAGGTTTCCTGCCTTCTAAATAGAATACATATAGAATTATCAGGGTAATTTATATCAACACTTTTCTTTTAAAAAAAATATATTGACCGTCTTAGCCCTAGATTACAGTTTCTTCATGTGGATTCTGCTCCAAGAATCCAGTATGTATCTGATACTGTTTTGCCAATATTAAAACAACCATAGTAGAAATGGGCCTATTCTTTTGTCTCATTTTAAATATCATGTGTTTAGAAGCACCGCAAGAGAAATATAATCCACAACCAGTTCTCTCCTTTCATAACAAGTCCCCTCCTTTCTTGATGATATTTCACAAGTGAGTTCCTAACAGTGATACTACAGAAGCTTCAAACTTCTCATGCTATAAAAAATTTAAACTTGCTTAAGTGAAACTAAAACACAGTGACTTACAGATTCCTTGGAGATAATTTCAAAGGAAGGAATGCTCCATAGTTTTAAGTTCTTGTGCACCTACAACACAAACAATGGGTAAAAAATAATTTTCAAATGCATACTCAAACTATGCTCTCAGAAGATCTGAAAAATGGAAAGTTCATTCTGACCTGTTACCAAGTAACCTCAGTTGTCAGTGATTTCAGTCTCAGAAGAGAGATCATGTTATTACTTGGTCAGGTCACTAAAGATGAAATACCTTGAAAAGAAAAAGACAGCTCCTGCTATCAGAGCATTTCTGTCAAATCTCAGAGCTCTGTTTATTTTCAGTAACATTTTAGAAAATAAATAAATAAAATTACTCAAATGAAAAAGTGAGATATGGCAATTGCAGAGAACAAGTGAGCTTTATAGACTTACGAACTCAAGTTATCAGGGGAGGGGAACCTCAATTCATCCCACACATACCAGTAGCCAGAGCCTGGAAAGGGGGTCACAGGTCAGCAGGAGAGCACCTGAAGAGCAGCACAAAGGAACTGCAGCCACTTCAACCAGCACGTTAGCTTCACTGGGAGGGCAGCTTAAATGCCTCTTTGCAAATGTACATAACATGGGGAATAAACAAGGTGAGTTAGAGAAATATGCATGCCTGCAGGGCTACAGTCTTAATGGCATTACAGAGATGTGGTGACTGAGCTGTGATTGACACACTGGAGGGAAGGGATGCCATCCAGAGGGACTTTGTCAGGCTTGAGAGCTGGGCCCATGTGAAACTCATAAACATCAACAAGACCAAGTGCAAAGTCCTGCACCTGGGTTGGGGAAATCCCAAGCGCAAATACAGGCTGGGCAGTGAACAGGTTGAGAGTAATTTTGTGGAGTACTTGGGGATGTTGGGTGATAAGAAGTCCAGCATGAGTTGGAAGTGTGTACTTGAAGCCCAGAAAGCTAACTGTATCCTGGAATGCGTTAAAAAGAGTGTGACCATCAGGCTGATGGAGATGATCCTCTATGTTGCTCTTGTGAGATCCCACTTGGAGTACAGCATTCAGCTCTGGGGCCCCCAACACAAGAAGGTCATGAACCTATTGAAGGGAGTCCAGAAAAAGGTCACAAAGATGATCAGAGGGCTGGAGCACCTCTCCTAATGAAGGTATAATCAAAGAGTTAGGCTTGTTCAGCCTGGAGAAGAGAAGGCTCCAGGGGTACTTTGTTGCAGTTTTCCAGTACCCCAAGGAGAGCATAAAAGAAAGTTGGAGAGGGACTTTTTGCAAGGTTCTGCAGGAATATAACAAGAGTGAATGGTTTTAAACTAAGAGTGTAGATTTAGATTAGATATTAGGAAGAGGTTCTTTATTGTGGGGGTGGTGAGACACTGGAACGAGTTGCCCAGAGAAGTTGTGGATGCCCCTGCCCCGTACCATTAAGGCCAGGTTAGATGAGGCTTTGAGCAACCTTGTCTATTGGAAGGTATTCCTCCACATGGCATAGGGGTTGGAACTATACAATCTTTTAAGTCTCTTCCAACCCAAACTATTCTCTGATTCTATGATCTTTGGGAGATTGTATAATCCTATAGAACTTTGTTTTACCAGTATAGCAAGCCTCACTCTTTGTATTCTCCAAAACATGCCATTGATTGCATTACATGAAGACTCGGTGATTGCTAACAAATATATTCCAGTAACCACCAAATGAAAAAAAATTAAAGGAAAAGAAAAAAAAAAAAGGTAAAAAATGAAAAAAGAAAGAGAGAGGAAAAATGCCAGAGGCCTAATTCAGTTGTTGCGTAGAAAATAACTACTAGGCCTTGTTACAATTACATGCAGTACTTATTTAGACACTAAGATCCCACTGAAATAGAACTTCTCACTTACACAAGTATTCTGTTTTTGTTATTGGCTATGCCTGAATCCATTTCTAAGTCATATGTCCATAAGTATTTAAGTCCCATTGACTTTAGCGGGAGAACTCCTATCCATTAAATTTGTGAGGGACTATTGTACTGGAGCTGCCGTTATTTCTGCTTGCCAGTATTTTAGGATGCTGGCCTGTCTATTTTAGCTTGTGATTGACTTTTCTGCTCAGTGGGAGGGCATCTACTGTCCTCATTTGTGCCCTTCACAAATTCCCACATACATTAACCCTCTTTGCTCTCTAGCCCTGATAAATCTGAAGTGTACCTGTACAAAGCAAGTTGTTATTGCCTTGTTCGTCTTCCCCTCCCAGAGAGTCAGTTATCAGAAGTTATCGCAAGCTCAGCAAAGCAGAAGTATATCAGTCCTCAGATGGGAGAGCCACCTGGAGAAAGGCAGCCAGTCTACAGCTTAGTGAACGGCACCACAATTTCAAGTGAGCAACAAAGTTGTGTTTCTTCTGGGCACTTGGAGTTTGCTGTGCTATAGGAAATGTCAAAAGGAGAATTAAAAGTAAAGCTTTTTGCTATTTACCTCCATTAAAGTCCTCAATAATTTTCACAGTAGCATCCCCAGTGTTATGCCTGATTTCAAATTGGGATAATTGCATTCTGCCTACTTGAATTTCTGCTTTGGAGTTCAGTTGGACAGACTAACCCTTTTTTTTTGCTGCCAGAATTCAAATGTTTAGGGACTCAATCAGCTTTTAAACAATTGTTCTGCTCTCCAGGGATAGGTCCATGGCCATTCAGATACTTCAATGGATACTTTTAGAACAATACATATAAATAAATAAAGGAGTTTCGGGAACGGTTGCACACACACAAGCACATGACTCTTCAAGATGAGAGGCAGTATATGAGACACTACGATGTAAGACATTGCAGTGTTATTATGCTTTGTATGAAAGATGTTATATAAAATATTAATGTATTTCATTAAAATGACTCTTAATGTCAATATGTAGTGTGACTGTGCCATGATTTCTTATGTTAGTAGGTGCTTTACTAGAAGTTATAACTTTACATTATTCAACCACAATAGTCTCTGTAGTGAATGTATTGCCTCTGTTATCAACTTCGTTATGCCCTATGAAAAACCATTGCTATGGTGATGAGTATTTTATGGTACAGTATTTGCCTAATTATAAATTTTCTCTAACAGAGACACTAATGTTATTTTAAACAGCAAAATCCATTTTCAAAATTAAAATATATGCACATAATTAAGCCATAACCCTCAACAGACAGTATTTTCGATTGATAATTATTTCTGTTTATTAAAAATGTTAGAGGTAAATGCAAAAGTTATTGCAATGGGTGTTTAAAAGGACTTATTTTTATAACTTTAAGGTAATGCATACTTTTGTTGTTTGTTGATGGACTGTATGCTGTTAAAGTAGAAAAGTTACATTGGAAATAAAATTATTGTATTTGTATATGAAACATTATGTCATGGAAAAGAAAAATGCAAGATCCGGGTTTATTAAGCATTTATTTGTAAATAGCATCATCCCTCAAAAAATGACACATTTAGTTCTCTGACTTTATTGTCACCTCCATGGAGCTCAGTGTTTTCCTTCAAATCATTGTGATTATTATACTCGGTCTGAGAATTTGACACCTGCTGTTTCAAAACTTGATAACAAATGTTTCAGGATATATATCAGATAATACAGAGGAGAAGAAAAAGACTCAGACTACAATAATGTCGGGGGAAAAAAAGACAAAAAAAAATGTTCTTCTTAGGAAGTAATATCAGTCAAAACAGTTATCAGTAATCTGAAGAGAAAATGTTAGGTGCATTTAAATTAGTATAATGAAATTTATAATGCTATAATTTATAATGGTAAACAGAAGTTAAAAAAAAAAAGAAAGCTCTAGTAGCAGAGGAAATAGTATCAGTTAAATCCTGTAACAAACTGTCTGTAGGAAGAACAAGAATAACAGGGATACAGCTGATAGAGAGATGGTTAAACAAGCAATACCAGAAATGCTTGAATGAAAAAGAATGGAACATCATTACATAATAATGGGTAAGATCAATGTGATTAATGTTGTACTTTAATTTTTATTCATTATTTAAGTGGCAAAAAGACAGGTAATCTGGTACAGTTTAATATCTACTGGGCTATAGTGGACATGATAGTGATGTTTAAAGCTATCTGATCTTGTATTCCTCTTCCTCATTGTTTCTTCTTTTACTCTTATTTGTATGTGAATGGCTTAATATTTGTACCATTAACTTTATTAATGTAAATAATTTATAATCCAATATTTTTGAGATGCTTGTTTTGAATGGAAGCTTTAATACATGAATCAGAATAATAGAAAGTATTGTACTGATGATTATTCAAATAGCATAACCAGTTAATAGCATGTTCTTCCTGTGGGTTAAGCAGGGTTTCAGTTTGATAAAGCATTTGGACGTAATCTTAACTTTAAGCATGCGCAGAAGGCTTTCTGCAGTCATCTAAATATTTAGGCATATGCTTCAATTGGAATGAAGTGCATAAGTAGGGTTAAACAGATGCTCTGCTGAGGCACAGATCCTAAAATTGTGAGCCTGATCCTTGATCTATACAAGGCTTTCAACTCTGCTGGATGTTAGTTCTTTTATTATAAAGCTGTCCAGGAAGATAAGATACTGACCCTAAAATGAGTAACAGTAAAGCCAGACGATGTTTCTGCTCATGTCTGTTTTGAATACAAATAATAAGATTAATGTCTGAAATCTGACATATTTGGAAAAGAAGTAAAGAAGGTTAAACTGGGGGGCCTGCATGTGGGTATTATTTCCAATTTATGACTTTTGTCTGAAGGTTATTGATGTCCATTTACTACAGGTGAGAGCTGATTCCAGATTGCTTTGTTTTCTGTTTATTTAGGGATTTTTTTCCAATATGTTGCATTTGTGTAGCACAAATCATAGAATAATAGAATAGTTAGGGTTGGAAAGGACCTTAAGATCATCAGATACTGGTGCTTGCATAATTACTTTTGGAAAACAGCATTAGAAGGGAATTCCTGTGCAATCAGGTCCAGCCTATGGCTAATGGAAGCAACCAGGTCATATAATTCTGTTAATAAATTTATCAAACTCATTGTTTAAGCACATTAGATTTTTTTCTATTTGAAAACTGTTCCAGAGCTTTAGTCCTCTGTTAGTTATAAATCTTCTCATTTCTGTCCTAGATGTGTTTATAACCAGTTTATACCCATTTGATCTTATGCCAACATTGTCTTGGATTTTAACCCCTCTCTAGTTGAAGAAACACAGGAGAAAAAGCGATTACACTGGTGAAAATCTGCACTCCTGACACTGTTAAAATTTAGACAATAAAATACACTTCCACATCCTGATTTTTGGGCACATTTAGTCACTTTTGGTAGAAGCCACTGAAATCTAAAACAATCATATTTTTACTTTTCTCTTGAGAAACAGATTTACAAGTTTGGACCCTCCTGAATAAGAAAACAACTAAAACTATATATCTAGAATGAATCACACCTGAACCAAGAGGTAACTGTCATTTTCTTTCTTTAAGCCCTGCTTAACAGTTATTTTGAATAGCTACTGGTTAAATCACCCCTCTCTGGGGTACCCTTTTTTTCTCACAGGCAGAAAAGTCCAGAAACGAGCTTCTAAAATCCTCAAGGTTTCTGGAATGCACCAATTTAAGGCTATTTGCACAAAAGCCATTGTTC